TAAATTCTCCTCTTCAAATCAAAACAAAAAATATAGAAATAAATTGTTAGGAGTTCTATGAGAATAATTGAAGAGGGAAGATAAAGCAATATTCTCGATTGTCTTCTCGTTAGGAAGAGGGAAGATAAAGCAAATAAAGAACGATCAGATAAAGTAGTTTTAGCTATGCTTTGGATATAGGTTAATGGCCTAAGAAAAACAATATTTTTTCACAAAAATTAAAAAATCTTCAAGCATGCAAAATTTGAAATAATTTGAAAATTTTTTTTATATATTTATTAAATAGATATTTTAAATACAAATATTGATAAAATTTTTAAGTATCAATTAAATTTAAATTATAAATATTTTTAATAATTTTTTTACATATTATTAATCTTCACATTAAATTTTATTAATCTATCTATTTAAATTTTTTATTAAAATTTTTATTAAATTATTTTAAAAAACTTTACAAAATTTATCTAAATAACTTTACGTAAATTTTGTCCTATTTATTTAGGTTGAAAAAAGTTTAGGTGAGGGGATGCTTGTTTGTTCCAAGGTCAGAATGGTAGATTACAAATCATCCTGCTGTCAACGAATTTTGTTCTAAACCTTAAAAATAAAGAATTCGATTTTTATCAACTCAATTAATTCAGTCCGCAACATTAATATTATCTTCCTCTCTAAATAATTTGCTTGTTCTTTAATCGTGGAATGCTTTTCCAAACAAAGATGAACATGAATCTTTTGTGGCTCCCAAAACCGTTGGTTGCTGAGCACTATGACTGCAGCCCTAAACAAGGTTTGAAAGGATGGTAAAAGAACAAAGAAGGACAAGAATTGTTTCTATCTGATGCCATTATCATGCCGAAAATTACAGAAGGATATGTGAGCAAAATGTTCATAGGACCTATATCTTCTACCTCTTCCATTTTCTTTTAAGGGGAAAAAAAACAATGGGAAAGAAACAAAAAAGAAAAAATGAGCTCGGAAAAATAAAGTATAAATTTGAATTAAAAGACAACCTAAATATAACTAACCCATCCGAGAGATACCAAGAATGGCACCCCAAATATTACAACACTATCTCATGTAGCAACAATGAGGCCTTGTCTGCCTTTGTAACTTGTCCCACATGTAGATCCTCTGTCTTGGGGACTGGCAGTGAGCTGTATAAGAATCTTCTATGCATCCAGGTTGGTAGAACATCAAGCTATGCTCTTAAATTGTGCTTTCAAACTCGGACACGATGAAGAGTGCAATGTCAGATGACAATATGTATCATGGTCCATTTGCATAGGGCGGATACGTTTCCTCCTGAAACAGCCGATACATGGGTTGGAACCAATAAGAATGCTTCCCAAAAATTCCATAAAATTAATTACCATGCAGCAATAATAGCAATTTTGAATTCGCAGGAAATTATTTAGAAAATTCCAATGAATCAAACTTTCAACATTTAAAATACAGTCAAAAAGTAAGAAAAAAAATCTGAAGAAACAGCTGAAATGTGCAACTGATATAGATTGGTGTTTCTACAAGCCAAATCAGCCCATGATTCGTTTAACTATTCATTAACTGATGAAATGAAATAAACTCAAAGACCATCCATACCTCTTATGTTATTGCATGCTCATTTACCGTAGTGTAGGGCTTATGTCAATAGTTGATGTTATCGTTACCAATATAGAAGCTTCTAACTTCATTTTACTTTCTTTGCTTCATTACTAACTGCATTGTCATCATCACACTTCGTTATAAACTTGGTAGCCACCACACTGGCCTGTAATTAACAAACAAACCCCTTAAAACAATCTCAAGAAACACTTCAACTATTCATTTTTTTCAAACTGGGAAAAAATTGCACACTTACCCCATATTCACAGATGGCAACAGTTTTTAACACGACAAGGTCATAGTTGTCCATATAAGAGTTTTTTCTTAAGATACGGTAAATTAAACTCTGCTTCTTTCTTCAATTCTACATTCACTTCCTTTCTTGCATGCTGTCCAAACATATGGAAAAGGTGGTTAAATACAGAACTTTAGGGCCGAAACTATTTAGGATAGTCTTAACTTACCATTGCCACAAAGAAACGAGCAACCACATTTGAAGATTTAACAAGTTCATTCAGCATCCAAGACTTTCTTGCAGCCATCCGCTCAGCGAAATGATTGCCTGCTGAAAGTATACCAATAGACAGATCCACAGGCTGTTCAGAAAGTGGTGGAGCCTTCCATCCATTGGACATCTCAAGATGCCTTTGAGGAGCGAAATTAACTAGGATGTGATGTAGGCAAAGATGTCGCAAATACAGAGTGGACATCAATGTCCCCATTCAAAGTTAGTCCAGTGGCATCCTCAACATTATCAACTTATATCAAGAATGAGTCAAATGCAACACGATGGATAGTATTAAGTTTACAGTATATAACTTACAGTTCGAAAAGGAAAAGAAGTAATGTGCCTCCCATCAACATTAACATGATATCCCTCCAAAACCAGCAGTAAGAGTCAGCACAAAAAGTTTGCCCCGAAAGGACCACGGTCACCTTTTTTCTTCGGCCTATTAATTGCTTCAACCACCTTGTTGTCTAATGCTCCTCGGAGTGATCGTGATTATCATCCCGAATCCACTTCTCACACTTGACCTGACCATCAACTGCAGGTATAAAGAAGTAGACATTTTTGTGGCATGAGAATGTAGAAGATTGCCATGCATTAAAACCGTAGATTTTTGTTTTCTTTCGACTTTTTTCATTTGTTAGGCCTGCAGAGAGTTGAATTTGTTAAAATAACTGAAACGTAATGCAATCCATGGTTCCATGATGAATTTGTTTAATTCATGGATCTTCTGTTTTTAAATCGGACCAAAGGTTGAACAGGTGAAAGTTTTGATTTTCATTCAATTGGTTGATCCATTTAGAAAGAGACTGTAATATTAATAAATTCATGATTTTGATTTTAAATAAGGATTGAATATAGTAAATATTTAATAAAAATATGCATTTGGTTATGGTATGTCTTTATGTAGAATTAAGAGGTTAAAGACTAAATCTCACCACTTACGAAAAAATTATGAATAACAAAATAATAAAATAAACCTTAAAACCGGTGTAAATATTGATTTTTTTTGGTTTAATCGATTTTTATTCCTTTCGTTGAAAATCTGATTTTATAAACTATTGACATGTCATCGATATTTGATTCAACTAGTCCGATTTTTTAATCATCTGTTATTGTTAATGATATTTTTCTTGTTACTTCCTCCGGTAAGTGATACATAGATGTAGCCATGTAGGGATTTAGACCGGCTAAATGAAGGGTGAAGGAAAGAGAAGGCTAATGTTGTTTGTAACAATTATTCTCCGTTTTATTGAGAAAATAACAGGTTTTGTTTCTTGCGCTGCCCTTGTATTCCTTGTTTGCATTTACTTCGCCTTCACTGATTTTCATAATTATTTGGCAACTGATCCGCTCTCATCTTTGATTCCATCTCTTGGAATATGCGTATTTGAGTTTTATCATTATGCTTAGTCCTTTAGATTTGTCCCATTCATTCCTCCCATTAGTCAGAATCCGTTTATGTTTTTTTAGTGGTAGTATAAAAATGTGTTGTATCTATGCAGCATTCCTTCGTCTGATTTGTACCCCCGCTATTTGACAAATGTGTATGCGACTTAAATATCTCTTCCTTTATTATTATTATTATTTTTTTTTTGAAATCTCACAGCATATAAGTTAATATTCTTAGATCATAAGTCATAACATTTTCTCTTTTTTTTTTTTTTTTAATGATGTTCTCTTTCTTTTATATCATTTGTAATAACATTTCCCGTTATGTTTAGGCATGGTTTGAAGTTCGGCTGAAACCCAACCTCCGTTGCCATTTCTGAAGGACCCACTGGTTAATATCGAAGCCTGGCCTTTCCATGGAGGAATAGGTCAAGTCAACGGTCAACACAATCACACATCGCCAACTACGGGGCATGCTAGAGGATAAATGGCCCTGGCTCATCATAATCACACATATGCGAGGTGTCCTAATCATGTGAACCCACCACCACAGTCCACAAGCCCCTGACCCCCACCACTCAAAAGCCACAACTCCCATTACATGCAGCCCCAGGAACACCCCCTTCTCTCTTTCCTTGCCTTATCCCAACAACACCACCAATTAGATAACATGGCTCACCTAGTAGAGACATTCATTTACAAGCCAAGGCCATGACATTGTCAGCTGATGCTGATTCTTTCTGGTTTTCACTTATCAAAGCAAACTACCTGCCTCATAAAACAGCCAAAGAATCATTAAAAGAGAAGGTCAGGAAAACATCAAAGGATTTGGATAAAAAGAAAGAACAACATTTCAAATATCAGTGCTTGATAGCAAGAAAATAATTTCGACGATGGAGGAGAAAGAAGTGAAGAATCTACTTGAAGGGCATCATTATATGAAGAATTCTTCAGCTTGTAGAAAGATATCCTTTTGTGGTTCACCAATAAAGCTGACTGATACTCTTGCAAATTGTGGTGTTCAGTTGATATGTCACCGTTTATGCAGATCGATGCGGTTGATTGTGCAAGAAAGACTCATGATCGCCTTGAAAAGTTCAGTTGCAGAACTCTTGCCTCTCTCTCAACAAGGTACGTAATACTAATAATTAGTTAAAATTGTTTTCTCCTTGCGGATAATTTTGTCAAAGTCATCAGTTTATGTACTTGCGAATACCCTTGTATCCTTGGTACAAGAATTCTTGTTTACAAAATCTCAATGAGTTCAAGCCACGATTTTTGAAACAAAGATGAACATTCGATAAAAGAGGTGAGCTATGTTCTTCAATTGCAATGGAAAAAGCTGCTCAAACCATATAGCTACGCAATGTGGCAACAAAAAAGAGAAGAGGAAGAAGGAAGAAAAAAACCCATACGCTTCAGCAATAATTTGGCTCACAATTATTTTATTATTGAAACTCTAGAATATGAAATTAAGAAGTTGCGAACACCAGAAGAACTAAAAACAAAAGCACTAAGAAACATAAAAAAGCCTAAAAACCTAAGAAATAAACCTAAGCTATTTTTCTTTGAAGCATCTGCCTGAACCAATATGCTGACATCTTTGGGTATCTCTTGAGATCATTGTAATCAACATAAATCAAGCCAAATCTTGAGGTATAACCTAACAACCATTCAAAGTTGTCAAGCATTGACCAAGCAAAGTAGCCAGTGACATTGGCTCCATCATCCATGGCTCTCTTCAATTCCTTCAAGTAGGTTGTATAGTAGTTCACTCTCTTTGTATCAAACAAAGCTTCAGGAAATGGAACATTGCCAGGGTCATCCATTCCTGCAATTAATCAACCAAACAAATGAACAACTTTGCGTGGTTTCCAAAGATCAAACAGTGGAGAAATAAAACTTCTATTTTACCATTTTCTGAGAGAATTATTTCGGGGTTTCCATAACGCTCTTTAACATATGTGACAACTTTGTAAATGCCCGATGGAACTTCATAAATCCATGGAGAATGAGCCTGCAATTTTTTTGGTGCATTAGTGTTAACACAGCTTAAGAAGCTAAGACGTGGAAAGCACAAAGATTACCTGACGACCGATTGGCACACCATTACGTTCATCTGTTAGAGTGAACACAAACAGGTATGTTATATCATCAAAACAACTAGAAAAATTTTGGGTAAATGAAGTAGGAAAAGATGGATGACTTACAAGCATACCCAACATTCCAATCATGTTCGTAACCAGTCACATTTGTCTTTGGCTGGTGTGCGTCATATATGTAGTAAGAAGTGTAGTGGTTGAGACCAAGAACATCAAAAGAGTTTTTCACAATCTCCAGTTCACTTTTGCTGAACTTTGGAAGCCTTTCTCCTACGATTTTTTGCATTGTTCTTGGATATTCTCCATATACAAAAGGGTGCAAAAACCTGCAAAATAAATTTGACAATAATTCCCTCCTTAAATGAGTACTGATAAGTTCCATTTTTTTTTTATATATTTCAATAAGTCATAAGGACCAGATATGTGCCAGGAAAAAATACTTCAAAATAATGAAATCCGAGAACATAGGACAGCTTGCTATTTTGGGGCCCTGGATGCCTAATGTTTCATTTATTCTATTTAATTGAACAATTAAAACATAGTTGACTACATTGTACATTGTCAGTATGTATTCAGAGATTTATACCATCCAATATGGAAGTCTCTTGCTCTTTGTGCTGCATAGTTATCTGCCTTTGATTTTGTTAGAGGTTCATACCAAACAAAGTCCGCGAAGACACCAACTCTTCCCTTCTGTTCAGCCTGAAAAGGCACATTAAAATCATTAAAATAAGATATTAGATTATGTATCAAGATTAGAAATCAATTGACTGAGAGAATCTCCAAAATAATCATTACTTTATATTTTTCACGATATCTTTTGGAAGCTTCAGCATGACTTAAAATCAAATGATGTGCTGCAATATAAGGCTCGGTTGCTGAGTTTCCTTCTGTACAATTTCCAAATTCCTTTGAACATCTATTTGGAGGATTAATGCCATTGTCAAATCCAAGAGAAGCAATCACTTTCGGTTCATTGAATGTCCACCAATTCTTTACTCTATCACCAAATGTCTTGAAACAGAATTCTGCATAATCAGCATAATCTTTGCTGCAAGATTCATATCATAGTAAATTAATTTTACAATTTAGTTAATTTTCTAAGTTAATGGTTTCTCCCTCTGAAAAAAGAGGTTATCTCTCAACTTACACAATTTGTTTACTCAGAAAACCTCCATATCTCTCCTGAAGTGCAACTGGCAGATCGTAGTGGTACAAATTCGCATGTGGGGTGATTCCTACATGGATAACAAAGTTAACATATTTCATCCAGTTACAAAAATATAACTAGAATACTGCAATATGTCATATACCAGGTCCAAAATTTCAGTATTTTATACATTGAAATTAATATATATACCTTTCTCAAGCATGTAGTTTATCAATCTATTATAGTAGGCAACTCCTTTCCAGTTTACCTCCCCTGTGCCATCTACATAAAGGTATGAATATAAGCATTAATTAATCAAAAAATGAAATGTGTATGCCAATTTTATAATCAAGGAAGATGGTAAATGTACTTGGAAAAATTCTCGGCCATGAGATCGAAAATCGGTAGGCATCAAAGTTCATCATTTGCATCAAATTAACATCTTCCTGCAAACGGAACAAGAGTAAAGAAATAAGCCTGACTAATTTAAATCTATAAGCTTTTGTATTAATAAGAAATAAAAATGAAATAAAAATTCCAAGCCTTTGCATTAATAAGAAATAAAAATGATATAAAATCATACCTTGTAGTGATTATATTGATCAATGGAAACTTCACCAGTAGCATTATTTTTAATATTTCCTGTTACATATATGAAATGATATCCTTTTAAAATTTTACATTTAAAAAAATTAACATTTAAAAAAAGGTACAAATTAAAATTAAAATCATTTGATTTAACCTGGAACTTTAGCAAAAACATCCCATATGCTAGGTCCTCTGCCGTCTTTGCTAGCCATTCCTTCAACTTGATATGCTGATGCGGCAGTTCCAAACACAAAACCTTTTGGAAAGATATCTCTGCTTAAGCCTCCAGTGTCAAATCGGGGCTGCCATGCACTAGCATTTGCATGTGAAACAATACTAAAAACAGCAATTAACAACAACAATAAGATTACTAAACTCTTCATGGTGACCAAAGCTATTGTTTTGTTTGAGTGAAAAAAACTTCACTGTCAACGTGTATTTATAGGTGTGTGGAGAGATTTTATTGGAATTGAAAAGGCTAAAGCTAATTTTAATTGAATTTCAGTGTTTGATTTTATGGATAAGATGTAGTTCTTATTTTAAATATTTGGATAAAGAGACATTGAAAAATAAAATAAAATCTAAAAGAATATTTTAATTAACTTGTATTTTTTAATGTTTCTCCAATTTTATAAAAAATCTTTGAAAAATCTACTTGAGAAAACAAAAATATCATTTTTCATGCAGAAATAATATTTTTTCCAGATATGATAAAATTAAATAGAAAATAAGTGATAAATTCAAAAAAAAAAAATCTAAAAAATCGATCGTAATCTTATTCTCAAATTTGATAGAAACAGATTTGATCAAACGAAAAAAATGACTAAACAGTTGGGATTGCCTCTGATATGACTCTACATTCAATTACTCAATTATTCTGAAGGGTAGAAGGTGGCCGTCATATCTTGATTTTGTGAGGTATCAATTAATATAATTTTTTATGAAATAATATAACATATAATAAATCAGATAAAAATATAAATAAATAAATAATTTTTAAATTAGTTAACATTTCAGTTATCAAAATATAATATACTTATAATTTCACATTTGATATTGAATATCGTATAATAATATACTTAATATTTGTTCATTTGATATTGAATCATGAAGTGGAAGATAAGTTACAAGCATATTTGTTTTTAAACTTCGCCTGATTATTAATTGCAAAAATAGTAACTCGAGTTTATAATATTTAATCTCTAAGAAACATAAAAAAGAAAATACACAGTATCTACCATTGAAAAAATTTATTTTTGTTTTTAATTTTGATGATTACCTTCCTTTTATTTTTCTCTAATCTCTAATAAACATAAAAAGGAAAAAAATGGTATCTACAATTAAAAAAATGCTAATTTATGCGTATATGTACATATTTAAATAGATTAAATTAATATTTTAAAAAATAGGTAAAATTAATTTGTGCATTACATGAGTCATAAATTAGTTCAATATTAAAAATAAAAATTCAGCACTTAATTTTTTAGTTAATCAAACAACGTCTTAATTTCAACTTAGCTTTTAATTTTTGATCAAATCAGGGAAAAGATTCTGCATACACTTATTGATTATTTGTCATTTCTTCTATCAATTTACCTGTTCCAAATATCCTAAATCCTCAAAGAAATTCTAATCAAAAACTGAACAAAAATTTTACCAAAAACAGTTGAAGTTTAACAAGGCCAATATTATTATTACTGATTATCAGATAGGCTGATAATGATTTTTTAAAATTTACAAGTAAAATTAATAGGATGATACAGCAATTATTTATATTTTAAAAAATAAAAACATTAATTTAATACCATGTAAACAGAATAATTATTTTACTAGTGTTTTGTAAATATCAGGCCTAAAGTTTGCTTGGACTGGATTTAACTTGTTTTGGCAGCTCAAATGGCTTCCAAACAAATATATGGCAACTCAATGCTTCCAAACAAATATATGGCAACTGGCTAGCCGTGAAAAATGAACCAGGCCAAAACTCACGAGAAAATGGTGCACATGGACTCTGCCCGTGGCTGTCAAAGTTGTCAATTCTGTGTGAGCTAAGTCAAATCACACACTTTTCAGACCGAATCACTCTTTTATCTGCACTGGTCCTTGCTTCCTCACAGTCACGTCGTATTTGCTTCGGTTCAATGTCTTTATAAGCAAACAAATCTTCACAAGTGAGTTGCTGAATGTCAAAAATGAGAATATACAAAATTAGCATTCTTATTTGATAGCAAACATTGTTTGAGAATGTAAAGAACTGTTTTAGAGCTTTTGAGGTTTTTTCTCATTTGTACTTTTGGCCACCCGTTACAAGAATCAAATGCAATAAACGAGGAAAGGATTTATGACTCTTAAATTGAGCCCTTCACTAAAGCTGCACTGCAAGAATCAAATACAATATATAAGGAATGAGATTTATGACTCTCAAATTTAGAATGCAACGACCCTCAATTATGAGGTTGAAGATGATTGCGAAGATGATGTCGGAAGCTATCTAAACTATAATATTGATAATAACTCCATCACATAGGTGAGGCTGAATAGAATTTGATATAAGAAACAAACTTTGCTATATACTAACTTCTCAAATTAAAATCATTTTATTTAACCTGAAACTTTGACAAAAACATTCATATGTTAGGTCCTCTACCATCTTTGTTAGCCATTTCTTTAACTTGATATACTGATGCCATTATCCGAACACAAAACCTTTCGAAAAACTATCTCTACTCAAACTTTCGATATTAAATCAGAATGCCTGGCATTTGCATGTGGAACCATACTAAAAAAAAGCGAGTGAAAGCAATATCAAAATCGCTACAAAATATGAGTGACAAGCAATAACAAAATTGCTAGTGGGAATTCTTAACAAAATATTTATTTTAATTGAATTTGAGTGTTTGTTTTAATATAAGATATAATTGTTATTTTAAATATTTGAATAAACGAACATTGAATAATAAAATCGAATAAGGAAATCTAAAAAAAAAAAAAAAGAATTACTATACTTGATAAATGAAACATTTTTTTTTATAGAAAAAATTAAAATAAGTTTGCTAAATAAAATCAGTGGATTTTAAAATTTTATATTATTAGGATATTTTATTGTCTCAAAATCTGATGTTTCCTCTTTAATTTTTATTTTTGAATAATTCTTCAATTTTATAAAAAATCCACCAGATAAGACAAAATTTTTTCTTTTCATACAAAATATCTCTTTTTGATTGAAAGAAATTAAACAAAAAAGGTTATATAATCATATCTCAAATCAATAAAAGAAAAAAATGATCAAACCAACAAATGCCTAACCTTGAGATTGCCTCCAAGTACTAGTAGTATAATATTTTTGTAGACTAATGGTACAACTTCGTTTGAACTTTTTCCTTTTTTCTTAAATAAAAAAAATGGTCTATAAATTTTATCATTTTATCTAAATAAATCTTTATACTTTATTATACCCAAATAAACTCTTGATTTTAATTTGCATGTAAATAAATTTTTAACTTTTAATTTATATCTAAATAAGTTCTCAATTTTTAATTTATATCTAAATAAACCCTTAATATAAATTAATATTTTGTTTGATATAAGAGTTTATTTGAACACAAATCAAATAATAAGGATTTATTTGCATATAATAAATATAAAAACTTATTTGAAAAAAGTAAAATAATTCAAAGACTTTTTTAATATTTTAATTTATTTATAAATAAATTTCAACTTTTCATATTTCAAGAAAATTGAGGAAAAACATTAATGCAATTATTAGTTATTTTGTCCCTTCACATCTCCAAGTCCTCCAAAACTTGCTAGACATTTTATGGGAAGCTTATGTCTAATTGAAAAAAAAAAAAAAAAACCATTTAAATTTAAAAGAATTAAAGTCTAATGTTATTGGCCTAAAGTGGACAAAGTGCCTGGTTGGACCATAGACTTGGTTTCCAAGTTTTGGTTAGTTTTGTATTGATTAAACAATTAATATATGAGTTAAATTTGATTTACCGTAAATGTATAAGTGTTATACAACTATAAAATAATACTTCGTTAATGAATAAAATTAAAAATAGTCAAGTTCTTAAAAATAAATTACTTTTAGTTTTAAAATCTTTTCATGATGAAAGAAATTTATTTATTATAGATGACACAATAATTATTTAATCCATGTTTATATTATACTATTTAAATTAATTAAGCATTTTCAATTTTACGCAATTGTTCAATAACAGCTTGACCATCAATTATTTGATAGTTATTGAAACGATCATTGAGAAAATTTTTACTTGTTGTATCATCAATCATATACCTACTCTCTAATTTGTCCTTAATTCATTTATAGTAGTCTAGTTTTGGTATGTATCAAATAAACTATTTGACAAACCATTCAAAATATAATTTTTACACATGTAATTTGCATTGTCTCATTTCTGCCTCTCTAGTTGCAAGAACATATTTTATTTTATTTTTTTTCTTGCATGAGAGTTGTTAGAGCATATACAACCTTTAAGGTTGAAAATAAGAAATACATTTTCTTTTG